AAAAAAAAAACAGGAAAAGCTGCAGTTTTATTTCTACACCACAAGGAGGCAGCATAGCACAGACTGTCAGCTTACTGTTCGCTGCAGCCACTGCAACTAACCTGCACATGCTGGACTTCCTGGATACAGTGGTGCTCGGTGACGAGGGGGGGGTTTGGTAGGACCAGGTGCACTCTGAGCCCTTCAGGTCTACGATCACCTGAAGAGACAGGAACAAGGAGCAGTGTGAAGAAAAATGGAGGTCAAATTAGAAATATTAGAAAAACAGAAAGAGTGTTTTACAGGTGAAGTAACAACTGTGCTGCTGCAGAGGGAGCTGAGTCTGCAGGTGAAGCTTTCAATTTACCAGCTGATCTAAGTTTCACCTCTATTGTGTGCAGCCTACAACCTGTTATTATCGACTGTGGGAAAATAGTTGTCCTCATTTGATTCTGTCATGTATCCTGCAAGCTTCCAGGTGAAGCATTTTGGTTTGTCTGTGTTATAAAATCACTATTAAACACATTAAAGCAATTGGTGAGCTTAGGATAACAACTCTTACTTTTTTTTTTTTTACCTCCCCCGCCAAATAAAATATGATTAATTGAATTGATGGATAAAATTTCAGCTCAAGTTACAAGCACCTCACATGTTTTCACGTCAAAGGAAAGATGTTATTACTCCATGATTCCTAAACTAAGTTTGTTACAGAATATATATATATTTAGGTGCTTTAAAAAAAAAAGGCAAACAAAGTCAAGAAAAAAGTGCCAACTTGCACAAAAAAAGATGAAAACTGTACAAATAGATGCCAAAAGCAACTTCCTGAAAAGAAGTCAGAAGAAGAAAGAAGTATAAACCAAAAGATGAAATGTCAAGACTTTGGCTGCTTAAATATTCATTTTATGGGAATCACTGCACTAGTTTAGTCCTCACAGAAACTGAAGCCCAGTTCTACCAGCGGAGCAGAGCATGAATGTCGTGCAGCGGGACTGTACCTGCTCGCTGGAGGCCGGCAGCTTGTGAGGGTCCATGGTCAGAGTCTTCAGGTCGTCTGTCAGAGTCTGCAGGTGAGTGATCTCCCCCAGCATGGACATCTCCTCCTCCTGATGCACAAAACAACATTAGTAAAGTCTCAAACTACAGCTGCTGCACCAGAGGTTTGCAGTTTCTGGAGAATCAATGTTTGGGTCATAAAGTTTTCAGAGATTTCAAAAACATTAACCCCCTTAACCCTAAAACCTGCTGGGGGGTTTGAACGGCATTTTAAAAATTGCCAAAATTACATTTTATCAGCCAGAATCTGTAAAAAAAAAAAAAAAAAAAACCCCAGAGGTAATCATCGGATTTTGAATTTTCCTATGGTCCTTGAACTTGTGTAACTTTTGTGAGTAAAATGAACCAAATCTAAGCTGAACATCTTGATATTTTTAAACAAAAATCATTTTATCCTAAATTCCTCATTCAGAAATTCAGAAAAACTCCTTGCAGAAACCAGATTCTGTAAAAAACTAAAAATTCTGCATTCCTCGATACATCTATAAAGATGTTAGTGACTCAACTGTGAAAAACAGTCACATGACAAAAATTCAGGGACTTTCGGTCGAACTGCAGGATGTGTTCACACAGAGCAGAGACAAGTATGGAAGACAAATTAAAAAGTACAACATAACTGTAATATATTTAAAATATTTGAGTATGAAAAAAATATTTGCCTAGTAAAATAGCTGCAGTTTCTACAAACACCTTTTTCATCTAGTATTGACTTGCTTTTCCAAAACCAAACCGTAATATTTCACGTGACGTTTCATGATTTTACATGTTTTATTTAAAAAGTGAAAACTATTACAGTCCTTGGCACAACTGTATCAAGTTCAGGGACTTTTTGGCTGAACTGCAGGCTGTGTTAGCACAGAACAGAGAGAAGTATGAAAATAATAATTTAAAAAAACAAACATATTTAGTAAAATAGCTATAGGATGCAGAATTACCATTTTCCCCAGTATTGGTAGCATCTGTAGGTGCCTGGAAATGTTGAACATGCTGATTGCACGTTTTTTTTTTGTTTTGTTTTTTTTAAATGTTGTAGAATTTAAAAAAATACTTCCTATAGAGGGGCAGGACTTCAGAAAATAATGAATGAATGACTGACCACGACGGGCCTCAGCATGGACACGAAGCAGCAGAAGCGACTCCTCTCCTCCACCAGCGCCTTCCTCACCGCCTGCTTCTCCGTCTCCTCCAGCAGCAGATACTTATCGCTGACGTCCTGCATGGCGCTGTCCAGCTGAGGCTGCAGGTCTCCGCGGCCTGGAGGCACAAAACACAGCTTTAAGACAGGGCTGGAACTCATCATCGCCACCGTCAGTCAATCTGTGCATTGTTGTTGTTGGGTCTATAAAATGTTAGAAAATGGGGTGAAAATGCAGAATGTCTTGTTTTGTCCACAACCCTCCATCAAGATATTGAGTTTACTGATGCAGAGAAGGAAAGTAAACAGAAAATATTCACTTTTTGAAAACTGCTTTCAGACTTTTTATTCCTAAACAGCTACTCAAACTGATAAATAGTTGGAGATTAATTTAATAGTTGAGAACAAATTGATTCATCATTGTAGCCCCATGAATAATCACATTTTATTGATAAAATAAATAAATAAATAAATGTATAAATAATTGAAAGAAAAATAAATAAAATGTTAAAATATATACCTGAGACATTACATTACTTCTGTATAAGTAAATGTGTTTTTTTTTGTTTTTTTTTTTTAAATGTTGAAATAAAAAAAAAAACTTGTTGGCAGTGAAAGAAAGAACAGACATTAATATCTTCAACTTTTATACATCAACTTTTATTGAGGCAGTTTCTTTATTTCTACATTTATTTATGCATTTCCATTTCTAATTAGGTGGATGGTCCTAATTTCAGCCTACAGCACGATTGGTCAGCTGTAGGAATGCTATTAATAATTATTTTTACTGTCTATGCATCAATCATTGTCTCAATTAATCAACTAGTAGGTCCATAAATTGTGAGAAATGTGTTAAAAATCTCAGTGTTGTTGAAATGATTTGTCTAGAACCCAAAGATATTCAGTTTACTGTCATAGGAGGGAAAAAAACACAAACACATTTAAGAAGCTGCAATCAGAGAATTTAGACTCAATAACTTCAACTGATTCTTTAGTCTTAAGAAAAGCAATAATTTATTAGTTCGTCGTTTTGTTCAAAATATATAATAGAGAAAATAAATATGTCCATTACAATTTTCACTGTCACAAAGTGACATTTACATTCCCTGGTTTGAAGAAACTGTTCAAAACCTTAATATATTCACCTTACAAAAGTGTGGCAATGAAAAGTAAAAATGTCCTGCATTCAGGAAGCTATGACCAGGTGATATCTGACAATAAAAACACTAGTTGTAAAATTTGAGTAAATGATTTATAATTCAGCTCCTCTCAGACACATTTCAAGTCAAAGAGAACACATTAATATTTAATATTTCAAAATAAAAGTTTGCTGTAGTCTTTTAAACTTAATTTATGCTTTTTGAGGATCACAGTTTAAAACATGTAGATTTTTTTTTAAAGGTATAGAAAGCAACAAAACTGTGAATAGTTGCATAAAAGGTTTCTTTCATTGACCTGCAGCATCATAATACAGACACAGAAGCTCCAGATGATAAAGTGAAGGACAGAAAAGGGAAATAAAGCAGACTTATAAGTGCAGGCACGCCACAGCCAGATGATGAACCGGCTGTGAAATCCAGTTTCACCAAAACACAACTCAACACAACAGCGATTCCTGCCACAAACTGCTGAACCACATAAAAGAATGAAACCAGGAGACAAACAACCGCTGGCATGCCATTACAACACACATTATTAGATGGCTGATGAACAGGCTTCGTTATTTCCATTACAGAAGAGCCACATTTGAAATGACAGCGCTGCTTTGAAAACGCTGGTGTTTCCTAAGAGGTTTTATTTTTAACTCTGATCAAATTTCTTTTGTTCTCCGTGTTTCCAAATAAAGCAGATTTAATCCTCTAAACCTTTAAACCCTTTTTTTTTTTTTTTACTTATTGCATTATGTGAGTTCTCTCTACTTCTAGTCATGCTTGTGTTGTTTCCATGGAGGTACAGAACTTTATATTGCAGTAAAAAATGAGCCCACAGTGAGTAAAAATGCAACAGGAGCTAAAAACGCCCAGAAACTGATTGAACTTGAGACAGCTGAGGATGATTTCAGGAGTATTCTTGAAGCCACAGTCGAGGAAGAGGAGTCAGAAAGCTCTGGGAGTTTGACTTTTCATCGTTCATGGGTTTGTTGATAATAAAACGTGGCAGAACGCAGTGAAAACTGCCTGTCGCAATTTCCCATAACCCAAAGTGACATTGGCTCTTGTGCGACCGCATCACATTTAATCAACTGACTTCATTACTGACTGCCGATCGCTGCTTCGGGGTCGAGTTTTCCCTCTTTAAGGCGATCGTGTGGTAATCCCATCTTCAGTGTTAGAGGACGGACGTAAACATGCAATTAAAGTTCCTCTTTCCTCCAGCGAGATCTGAGGCTGAGCTCTGTGGTCGGCCTGAATGACGGGACGGAGCTGAGCTTTTCCAGCAGACGTGTCGGTGATAAAGAGATCGTGGAGACGAGAATGCAATTCCTGGTTTCCCACAGAATTCAAGCAACATGACGCCTCAAGCAGAAGATCCCTGTTATGTTCTCTGTTTGCATCTGTTTTCCTTTATCCAGCTCTGGATATCTCTTTATTCTTCAGCTGTCTTCATCTCCTCTTTGTGCTTTTCTTCTCTCTTCACACATACTTTTGTGTTCTTATATTCGGACACTGATTTTCCTCGTTTGCTGGGAACCTCAACTCTACCGCAAACTGCACGGAAAAGATTGCAACAGATAAGCAGCTGATTTTTTTTTTTTAAAAAGCTTGCATTTGATTTTCTTAAAGAAATCTGAACAGATGTAAAACATGTCCACATATTTGAATTTCATCAGCCCAAGTCAACTTTAACACTAAGCGGATTTCCACTGAAGAAACTGGAGATTTGAGAAGACATGAATGTTTACAAGAGCAACTTTCCGTTTCCTTCGATCCAACGGCTTTGACCGCAATGCAACCTCAGAGTGCACCAAAACTACAACAAACAGTAGTTACTGGACAGCAAGAGGGCAGAAAAAAAACTGGAGTCCTGTCTGAGGTTAACCAATCAGCACCAAGCCAGCAGTTTACCCTGGAGTAAGTCTGTCTCCCCTGAAATGAATCCAGAAACAAGTTCTCCAGGTTGCAGACGGAACATGCACAAATGTTCAGGTCGCCCTAACACTGCAAACAAGTTTCTGCACTGAAAAACTGCCCACAGATCCTTGAAAACTGAAGGATGTTCATTTCTAGTGAATTGTAACATCAGGCTATTTTAGGGCGAATTGCAACACTGTATTGAGCTGTCCAGTACATCTACAGAGAGTACCTGCTCCAGTATACGTACTTCTGACACGCCTTTAAAAACAGCTGGAAGTGTCTTAATGCTGGTCGGTTTAACACAGCAAAGGTCTCAGTTCCTTCCACTGGCTAACTACTATTTGCTATTTTCCATACTTCCACTGGGTTGTCGCCTTCAACAGATGCTTGTTCTGATACTTTCTCTACTTCTGTCTCTGTAGAAGAAGCCTGCGTTCCTGACGTAGACTCTGGCGACTCCCGCCCTCGGATTTATCATCCAACACATTTGAAAGCTTGTTCAGACCAATTATCCGATGACAGCTGAGTACCTGGTTGAGGCTGATTAAATCTCTTTGTCCACATTGACCCTGATGAAGACACAGTAGTGATGGAGTCCGTTTGCACAACAAGCAGCTGTAAATCAAGCAGCGTGCTCGAGCCCCTTTTTGCACTCATGTTGCTGCAGTGATGTGTGCGCATTATAAATACTTTGCACAATAAAAGAAAACCCAGTACAGTATTACTTTCTGCTACATGCAATACTAATATTTGTTGCTTATGGAAGAATGAAATTGCAAAGTCTGTTCACTATCCTGTTTACTTTCCCATCGTATATATATATTTTGTGGCACTATTTGACACTTTGATTTCTTTATTTTTTATTTTTTTCTATACATATATATCTCTTGTGTGTTTTTATTCTTTATTCTTCTCCTTCTTATTCTTGTTTCTGTCTGGAACAGGCGCTCAACACATTTCTCTGTGTGTTATACTGTGTATAATTGTGACAAATCAAGGTCTTGAATCTTGAGAATCAGTGCAATGTCACTGTTTTTCAATACACAGAAATATGTGCAATATTGTTCGTTTCCACATCCAGAAGAATCTGTACAATACTTATGTACGCTCACTGTCTACTTTATTAAAGACACCTTAGAAATCTGATGCAATCCAACAAAACATGTCTGCCATAAAATCGACCACGAACAAGCTTCTGCATCTTTAGTTGTTGCTTTGATGTTTTAAAAATGGTGATTAGTCTACTTCACGTTTAATACTGAGGTCACAGTGGGTGGTGCTGGACTAGATTTAAAAGTGTTCTTAATAAATTGCTCCGCTCTTGTATGTTATTGTAGTGGACAAAATATTAGGGACGCCTTTAAATATAATGCAGAACAAAGCAAACTCATTACAAACTGTGACCTCAATGGTAAATATAACGTAGAAAGATCAATTTCATGACAGCAACAAAGTGTGAACATGCTTCATAAAAGTAGAATGTTGTCATATGTACCTAATAAAGTGGCCAGTGTGTATATATGTCTTGTTTATTTGTTTTTTGTACTGATGTTCACTATATGTTTGACTATCCTCTCTGCTGCTATAATGCAAATTTCCTCACTGTGGGATTAATAAAGGTTTATCTCATCTTAATAACCTGCAGTTTAGATGGCGTGTACATGCATCGTGTAGTGCAGTATGCTTCCTATTCTGTTTGCGTTTAAACCTGACCTGCTCCCATGAACAAAGGCGACACTGTAAATAAAGATTTTTCCCACTTTGGTGTGGTCTTTCCTGAGTGTTTCACTCGTTACGTGAATTCCAACTCCTCGTTTTAACTCCATCTCCTTCCCTCCCTTCGCGACATTCATTTAATTCCAACACAAGTTCCTCCTTCTACTTTCCCAAACGTCTCCACGTCCTCTTCCCTCCTGACATCCATCCCAGTGCGGAGGGAGTTTCCTGCAGTAATAACAGGCCGACGGCTGCAGCAGCTCCAACCACATGTGAGCTTCCTCCTGAGGTCAAAGCCCGGAGCCTGTTTATTTTGTCCCGAAGGCTCGATTCAAAGCTGGAAGCCATCGAGCTCTTTGTCGGCAGCAACAACAAGCTTTTGTTTCCACTCATAATAAGGCTCGTTCAGTGCGATGATACAGACTGGAACTGCTGGTTCTAAAAGCGGAGCTCGCTGTGGTGTTTACTTGCGATTCTTTGGAGCTCAGTGGGAACAGCAAAGCACAATATTGATGCACAATAAGTCCAATCACTCCCCTTTTCATGTCCTGTATTTCATGCTAACCCATCCTGCCAATGCTAAATATTCATCTGTATGCTACCCAGAGATGCTCCAACTTTAGCTGATTAGCTCTTTAATTCATTAGTCGACTGGCAGACAAAACTAAGACACTGAAGATCCCTTTGACCAGCAGGAAAACACAAATCATCCGAGCGTTTCCTGACAAAGTGTCTCAATGTCTGCATGTTCATTAGAGGACAGCAAACCGAGGTGTGTGGACAGCAGGCGTACAACAACTTACCGAACACATCAGCTGGACAGAGCAGAGCACGATGGGACACCGAAGGAAGACAAGAAGGCAGTTTGTTGGAAAAGGAAAAAGAAAAAGAAGACGTGAACTTTTACATTCTTATGTATCTTCATGCATTTTTTCAAAAACCCATTCACAGATTCGTTTTTATAAAAAAGCACCATTTGTCACTGAGACAGTGTAAAATGCGTCATCGGATGTTCAAATGTTTAAGAGTCTTGAAAATTCTCACCCATGACTTTCTGTTCTGATGGACAACTTCAATGATATCACATCAAAATCACTTCATTTTATAATTTAGAACTCACCAAAATCAATGCATAAAGAAGATTCTGTCACCAAAAACTATACATTTTTTAAAGTTCAGTGCTCCTCTGTGCCACTGTGAAGCAGTTTATGATTCAGCTGAACTGCATTTACACAAAAGAGAGGTGGCAAGCATGAAAAAAATAAAAACACTAACAGCTGAACATCTATTGTATGTAGAGTGGTAACACCTGAGGACATTTGGAAAGATGTTGTCCATTTTTGATTATTTCTTTTTATATAATTTGTGACATTATGATTGTGTAATCTTGCACAGAACACATTTCTGAGTTCTCTCTACTTCTCGTCATGGTTGTGTTGTTTCCATCGAGGTGCAGGACTTTACATTGCAGTGAATGAGCCCACAGTAAGTAAAAAATGTAACGGGAGTTACATTCAGAATGCTACCTGAATATGACTTGATGAACAGAGATTACGAACCTTTCTTGGCCTTCTTCTGCAGCTTCAGGGTGTCTGATGATCTCTTCTTTATCTCCTGACGGGCTTTCTTATACTCTGTAAAGAAAACCACACAAAAACACAGTGAAGCGCATAAAGAAACTCATTTTAAACACACACCAAGAGGGGAAAATAAATCAGTTACATACAGAAGTGCAACGATGCATACGTTTGTCTTTGTGTTTGTGTTAGTGTGAAACCTTTGGCATGGTCTTTGTCCAGAGTGTTGGCGACTCTCTTCCACTCCTCCATCTGCTCCTGTAGAGGGTTGATCAGACAGTCCAGAAACACCCTGGAAACACACACAAACCGGTAAATCTATGGAAAAAAAAACAAAGTCCTCACACACAAATCAGCAGAGATTTGGTTTCAGGTTGGAGGAAGAGTCTGGAGATTTGATGGAGGCTCTTCACTGATGAAATTGTTGCACAACTCAAATGAGTTGATATTTGAAAGCCCAGAATCACATGTGCATTTAAACAGTGGATCGATTGTCTCTTCTTGAGTGAGCTTCTGCCTTGACCTGGTCTTGATCAGCAGTGAGGATAAGATTTAGACGAGTGCAACATCAACACCACACTGCTGCGGTACTTCTGAGAAGGCAGCACTTTAGATTCATCGTCAGTTCACACTTCAAACTTGACTTGTGGTCGGCAATTAGTCGCAATTATGGGACAGCTTTTTTTTTTTTTTTTAGATTTCGTCAGCTGAGGCCAACATTCTCCAGCTGCAGCAGAGATGCAGGCAGATGTGTGTTTCACTTAAGGTTCCATTTATTACAAAACAGTGATGGTGGATGTAATTTGTTCCGAGGCTGATAAAGTTAGTACAGCAGAGAAAGTAGGCAGTATTAGATGGTAAGAGATCATGTTTACTGTACTTTACATTTTAATCTGCAGTTAAACAGCAGTTTTAACAGGTGAAGAACCCACACACAGCAAAAACTCAAAATCTTACCAAGTTTATTAATCTTGTTTTTAGTCAAAATGTCTCATCCCACTTGATTTGAGATAAATTCACCTAACAAGTAACATTTCAGCAAGATAGGGGGACTTGTTTTAAGACACTGCATCTTAAATATCTTGTTAAGTCAAACAATCTTGAAATTATCTTGTTTTGAGTTGTATTTTAGAAGAAATGAGGCTAATTTGACATTTCATATATTTGTAAAGCTGAGGTGTTATTTGTATAGGATAGATAATCTTGATTTAAGAAATAAACTTTACTTAATTCAAGTGAAGGCATCTTACAAAGCGAATTTTCACTTGTTCTATTGGCAGATTTTATCACTTATTTCATGGTAAAAGTACCTTGAAGTAAGTTTTTTTTTCTTGTTTTGAGAAGGGCATTTTTTCCAGTGCAGTGTCCAAAACCGGAGAGTGACATCAGGAACACGATCGTCTTTACTGTACGAGGTCTTGTTTACTGGAAGTTACATTAGTATGTTATTTACATTTCAATCTGCAGTACATTTGTAAAAAGTAGAAGAATGTGAGAGTTCACCTTTTGTAAGGAGATCAAATATATAAGCAGTCTAGAATACAAGGTGCAGTCCAAAACTTCTGAGAGTTTTCCTGTTGTGTGTGCAGCATGTGCCAGCAGTAACCATCATGAGTCTACAAGACGGTGCTCTATCACCATCAGGACCTGTGTTACACATGGTTTTTATTACCACTGGTAGGAGCACATATGTGTTTTCGAAATCGAGTTTAAAGAGGAGCAAAGAGAAAAAAAATCCCATCAGTTGGCATCTCCGACCTTTATGTGGAGGATCATTGTTGGTGATGAGAGGTGGGTCTGCGACTACCATCAAGAGAAGAAACAACAGTTGCAAAAAGGAATAACAGCAGCTTCCTAAACAAGGAGTGTTGGTCAGTATCATGCTCATCACTTTCTTTTAAAGTCACAAGACTGGACACGAATCCATCCTCTAGGGTCAGAATGTCAATGCTGAGTTCTACTGTAACATCCAGAGGTGTCTGAGGGAGAATATTCAGCACAAATGACCTGAACAGCGATGTGATGGCATGTAGCTGATGCAACTGTGCCGTGCATGTGGTCATAGTGCCTCAAAGAATAGAGCCTAGTGCACGTGTCGCATGACTGGCTGCAAGTTACAGCAGCTCCTATTTTCTCTCTTGTGATTTTCCCCGGTGAGGGATCAATAAAGTTTTTCTTATCACCAACACAATCGGTATTTTCTACCCAACCTACTTACCAGATATGGCTTCCTGTGAGCAACATGGCTACTTCCATAGGAGGTGTAGGACCTCAAATTGAAGTGCAAAATGAACCAACAGGACGGAAAAATGTGACAGGAGGAAAGAAACAACACTGAGACATGACTTGGAATCCCAAAGTTTGATTGATTAGTTGTTTGATATATTAAAAAAAAAAACAAAAAAAAAACAGGTTCTCATATAAATCACACAAAAACAGAAAATCCTTTAACTGGACAAGTGAGAACGAGCTTATTTTCTGGCATTCTTGCCTAAAGACAAAATAATCGGTGTTCTTGCCAGTACTGTACCGTCCATCAGCTAATAGATTAGTCAAATTAAAGGATCCTGATCAATAATTCCTGTTGTCTCGACAATTTCCTGTGCCATCATCAGACTGTCCAAGGAGCTTCAGGGAAAAAGCATCTGGACAAGAGGCTTCTTCAGTTCTGAACTAAAGAACTAAAAAGCAACTGGACTTCTCTATTAGATCTTTGAAGACGCCTGGGAGCCTCCCTGGATCCCCACAGAGGAGCTGCAGGACGTGAAGGACGTCTGGGACACTTTGCTGAGCGGTAAAATATTAATAGATGTTTGTACGTGTGGCCATTGGTGCTTCAGACTGTAAAAGCGAGCGCGTGGCCTGTTTACATCGTCCTGCTACTGTACCTCCGTTCACCGACTCAGCTGGACGCCCCGTATTCCCATTTCAACCCGACTGACTCTCTCCTTCCACACTGGGAGAGTTAATGGACTCATGCAGAGGAGGGAAGATGAAGAAGGAGGACAGAATGAGGGAAAGGACACAGAGAAGAAAGGAGAGAAGCACCGGCTGAGGTTTGTAGGGAAGAATGGAAAGGGAGAGGCTGGTGAAAGGATGTTGTCACAGCAGGAGGTGAAGGACTGAAGAAAACGAGGGAAAAAAGAAGAGCAGGATGGTGCAAAAAAAAAAAAAAAAAATGGGAAGAAGATGGATGATGGATATGCCTCTATTCAAAATAGAAACTGTCTGTAATGTGATTAGATGGAATCACACATTGAGGATGGAGAGAGAGCAAGATGGAGGATTTTGAAGCAGGAGGAGGAGGAGGAGGAGGAGCAGGTTGCCATGGAGATCTGGGAGGAGAAGCTACACCTGTTCATCAGATCTACTCACATGGAAAACTGGCGGAGTTTAGCCTCGATGCTGCGATGCCTCATGCACATCCTGGTGAGGGCCGAACCGATGTCCCTGGTTCCTCCTGACAACAGACACACAGCAATCTGTCAGTCAAACCTCTCAACTGCAACTGCTTTTATTTCTATTTAAATTTGTTTACAGGTTTAGGCGACGGTGTATTTTAGGTAAGAGCTTGTTTTTCTATCCATATTTGTTTTCCTAATTTGAAATGAAAAGCTCCAGAGTTTAGCATTGTAATGCTTTGAATGATGCAATCAGGTAGTAATGGTGCCATGAAAGCAGTGAGTTTAAAGTGAGCTACACCTGCTTCATTCGCATAAAGTCACCAGAAACTCCTGATCTACATGCAAGCTGCACATCTGTGTCCTTTGTCCAAACCAAACATCAACCCTCTGGCCCGTCAAACCTCGTTGGCAGCGCTGAAATGCATGTTGTCTTTTTTAAAATCTCCAAAATATCACCATTTGTAAGAGTCAGAAACTGTCAAAACAGAAAGAATCATCAGATTTTCAACTTTCCAACAGTCCACAAACTACTCATCTGTGACATTTTATCAGAAAATTTCAAATCGAAGCTTGAAATAGTAATACTTATTTTAAAAAGTTGCTTTTGTTCCTATGTTTCAGTTTTAAATTTCGCCAAAATTACTTGATCATTGTCTGTAAAAAAAAAAAAAAAAAACTAACTAAATAATTCCAGAGTCATTATCCAATCAGCTAAGACCAGCAGTCACACGACCAAAACCAAACCAAAACTTCTCAGCTCAACTGCAGGTTGTATTTACAAAAGGAGACGAGTACATACATAAACTAAAAATAAAAATAGTAAATTATTTATAGTATGTAGAGCTGCCATTACTTTCTAGTACTGGTAACACCTCTAAGCGCTTTATACCATCTTGGTTTTTTTTGTTTTTTTTTTTACTATTTTTGTAAAATACAAACTGAAATTCAACTCTTTTTCTTTTTATTCTTTTTCTTTCTTTCTATTTATGATTTATGGCATTATAACGCGGTCATTCTGCACAGAAGACATTTGTGAGTTCTCTCTACCTCTATGCTTGTGCTCTTTCCGTAGACGTGGAGGTAGAAAAGTTTTTAAACTAAGTTCTTTATGAAGTTGTTCCAAATCCGATGCCTCCTGTATGACCTTCAGTGATATATATGAATCAAAAGTACCTAAAAGAACTGAGAATAAGAAGATATATGTTTTCTTAACCACTTTTGTTAATTGGGGTTTCAAGCATAATAGATGTTTTAGTTTAATGAAATTGTAAAAAATGACAGGAACAGATTTCTGTAAAAAAGCTAACACAGACTTCCTGCCGTCACTGTTCATGGACTGATCCTGCTGACTGTCAACCAAAGGCCTAACCTGAGCCAAGAAAAACCTTTAAACCTGTTGCATATTACTGATTCATTTGACTTGTAACAACTCCAGTCACAATCAGTTCAATTTCAAAGACAAACGAACACACCAGTGAGTCACATCATCCCCTCGAGTTGTGTCAAAACCATTTTCCCTGCAGTCGGGACGGACAGAAGAAGAGCAGAACCACACTGACAAGTTTCTGCTGAAGTAAAGACGACCGGAGAGTTTTCGGGGATTCGGTTTGAGCATCGCCGAGCTGATTGTCAGTGCAGCAGAAGCTCCACAGGCACCCGAAGGGGCCAGATGGTCGTCCTCTCTCTCCCCCAGACAGAACACTCCCTCCAGGGGAGAAGTTCACCAGATCTCAGCCTGTCAGCCTGGAGATCCAGCAACACCTCCAACACATGCTAACGCTTGTGTTCCAACACATGTGAGGGCTGCTGACAATTCGGCGTCATCCAAACGCTTCAATTTTAAGGAAAACACACACTCATACGCCCCCAAAAAAACCTCAGTGGTGGTTTGGAAAGGAATGTTGTCTTTATAAACTTGAACAAATTACATCATTTATCAGCCAGAAACTGGAAAATCAGCATTGGACTTTGAAGTTTCCAACAGTCTTTGAAGTACTCATCTGTATTCCATCAGAAAACTTGACCAAACTTCAGCTTAAAAATGTTTTATTTAATCAAAACTACATGTCTCATTTAAAATTCACCAAAAAATAAAACATGTGAACTAACCAGGTTACTTTAAAGTGACGACCAGTTCAGGGATTTTTCGGCTGAACTGCAGAATGTGTAGAAGAAATAGAAAAATGTGAGGAGTAAAGTATCTATTGTATGTATTCACCATTTTTCGTTTTTTGTTTTTTAAAAAAAATCAAATTCAACATGTTTTTGAATGGTTTGTGGCACTTTAACTGAGTCATTCTGCACACGAGACATGTCTGAGTTCTCTCTACTTCTATTCATAGTTGTGCTGCTTCCATAGAGGTGCAGGATTTTAAATTGTTGTGAAAAATAAGCGAAAAAAATGTGTCACACTAGAAACGGTCCTCACAAGTACAGCCTACAGGCGTGTGTGTCGGTCGGGCTGGTGAACACTGCAATGCACCACTGACTCCTCTTCCTCCTCTGCTCTTCCTCACCTCGTCTTCCCCTCCTCTTTTCTCTCTGACACTTTTTCGTCACCAGTCTCTCTTTTCTGTTTCCTTTTCAGACTCCTAATAGCCAGAAAAGGAGAGAGAAACTAATATCAACCATGATTTAAGCATGATGTGATGTTACTCTATGTGTGGCCTGGATGGATCGTCTGTGGACTTGTTGATCGAGGACTCAGTGACCAGCTGCTGAGATTTCCTAGACAGATTTGTTCTATAAAGTGGGAAAAAAAAGAAAAAAAAAAAAAAAAAAGTGGGAAAAAAAAGAAAAAAAAGAAAAAAGAAAGAAAGAAAGAAAGAACGAAAAAAAAGAAAGAAAAAAAAAGAAATTTGTGTTTTTTGGGTTTTTTTAAAAAAATAGGATTCAACTGTAATTTTTTAAAATTATTCATTACAATTTATTTTTCTTTTTTCTTTTTACAGATTTTCTTTGTTTGTTAAACTACTGATAACTAGTAAAATGACAGGAAAAGTATTTATGTACATGTTGAGAAAAAAATATTTAAGCAACAGTCAAATTAAAAATCTCTATTTTTACAAACAGTGATTGCATATGTTTATATCAATATTTATATACTTTGTTATACTAAAATTTTAGATATGCAACTAATTTCATTGTCAGTAATATCTTTTTGCACATTTTTACATTACAGCTTTTCTACATGTTTGCACACTGTATATTTTTTACACATTCCAAATTACAAATATTTTTATTACCTTTCGTACATTTTAGTCCTTCTTTGAAGAGTTTTTGTGCCAGAAATGTTTCTAAAACTATACTTGTTTTGACCATATTTAAATCAGCAAATAATAAAATGATTTCACAGATAATTGCCACTATTTAAAAATAGTAAATCATTTTTTTTAACAGTTACATTACAGATGAAGCCTGGTTTGTTAAATTACAGATAGAACCTGATATATATTTAGTTATCATTACTAATTTATCTAAATGGTAAAAATCTGTAAATAACAGAGCGTTCCGGTTAAATCTACTTTTATAAACTACGTCCAACAGTGAACGCTCCACTAGTCTAGTCGAGCTATTATTTGTCTCATTCTTCACACTGGGGCTTCGTTTCTGATCCAGTTTCCTCCTTCACGTCGTCTCTCCATCATTCCCTCGTCTCTCTTCACACATCGTCCCTCGCTCTCCTCCATTTTCCATCACTTCTCAATCCTCCTCTGTTCTCTTTTAGCTTCATCCTCCTCCTGTCTTCTCACCCTCAGACGAGGTGTTACTTCCCCTCTTCTCACCTCGTGTCTCCTCTGAGAAACAAGATGTTGTAGGTCTGGATCAAACCAGGATAAATTCCTTTCAGCCAGCAGGGCATAAAGACCAAACTGCAGACAAACTGAGTGTTTCAAAGAGTCTCTCATATAAATCATATTTCTCTGTGGCAGAAGACTGTTCTTTTTGGAAAGGTTTTACTGTTAAAATAGAGTCAAAGCTGAAAAGCAAACCTCCAAATGAGCTCAGTGGTTTGTCTGCCTGCTCATGAAGCCTGACGTGTCGAGTTAACTCAGCGGACAAAAGAGCCAAGATGGGCATTTCGTCGTAAGTGTTTTCCCAGATCTGCATGAGTCAAACTTCTGGCCTCAGCACTGCTCGGGCAGGTTTCCACACGAGCTGGAAGCCCACGTTTGTCAGCCTTCCTTGACCTCATTTTAGTTAACGGTTCATCCTGCAGTTCTCAGGATCACAGCAGTTGGAGGCCGGGTGACTAATTTTACACTTTATTTGTCGGAGGCAGCACCACCGATATTAGGTGTTACAACTGACAATTGTGCCAACAGACCACACGAGAGTCTTTTAGTCTGGACTGACTGGTGCTGACTGGTAGATTTGTTTCATTCTCCAGAGCCTGGTGGAGGTCGAAAGAAGCTTTATAGACATGATATCCAAAAACTAGAACACTATGCTAACATTAGCACTCTTGAAAGTCATCGTGTCTACAAAAGAAATCACCAAAATTGCATCTCTTCTCAGAACCAAAAACTGTTAAAACACAAAAAAATCCTAAATTTTTAACCTTTTTGATGATCATTGATTTACTCATCTGTGATGCAGTGTTCCATCAGGAAAAATAAACCAAATCTGAGCAACAAGACAAGACAAGGCTTTATTAAGTGGACAAATCTACTAAAAATCATGTTATTCCATAAAAATTAGTTGATTAAAAAAAAATAAGAAGAAGAAGAATTGCCAAAAATTACCTGTTTGCTTTAAACAGATTCTGTAAAAAACTAAAAATTCAGCACTCTTTGTGGCAACTTGTAAAGCATTCGTGATTCAGCTGCAAACTAAGAGTTGCATGGCAAAAATTCTGAGACTTTTCAGCTTAACTAGGCTGAACTGCAGGTTGTGTTTACACAGAGCAGAGAGGGGGGATAGCAAAAAAAAGACTTAAAAACATAAGCAGTAAAACATCTAGAGCATGTAGAGCCACTACTTTATCCCAGTATTAGTAGCACTTGTGGGCACTTGGAAAAATGTTCTACATCTTGATTCTAGGTTTTTTTTTTTC